TCTGTGATGTTTGTCAATTTGTTTGGAATTGCAGGAACCACAACACGCAAGTCATTGAAAATGAAATCAGAATGGTGCCAATAGAAGTGATTTTCTGCAGAACTCTGTGATATTTCTCAATTTGTTTGGAATTGCAGGAACCACAACACGCAAGTCATTGAAAATGAAATCAGAATGGTGCCAATAGAAGTGATTTTCTGCAGAACTCTGTGATATTTCTCAATTTGTTTGGAATTGCAGGAACCACAACACGCAAGTCATTGAAAATGTAATTAGAATGGTGCCAATAGAAGTGATTTTTGCAGAATTCGGTGATATTTCTCAATTTGTTTGGAATTGCAGGAATACCACTCATCAAGAATGTCATCAGAATGGTACCAATAGAAGTTATTAGAGTCCTCATATCTTTTGTTGGCACCGTTCTGATATTTGGCCAAAGTTCTGTGGTATTATATTTTTCAATGTCATTGAGAATGTTATCAGAATGGTGCCAATAGAAGTTATAAGTGTCCTCAGTAAACATTGTAATACATAGTAAACCTAACATTCCTTGACAGTCATAGTTTTTATTATCACAAATCACAAGTGCCTTAATTTTAAAATATGTTGAAAGAAATTTAGTATGCGCTGAACATAATGCTATTTACCAAAATATCCCTCTGAATATTTATCTAAAGTCTATCCCTCTGAATATTTATCTAAAGTCTATCCCTCAAAATGGCTGATATGTTTATTATTTTCTAGTCTTGAAAAAGTTTTGAATATGTATATAAATGCAATTTAATTCAAATTAGATTGCAATTTTCATTTCGTTAATATATTTTTTTACACGCTCCATTGTAATCTAAAATGATTTATACCAAGCTCTTGTACTGTTGACGTTCATTTCCACCAATCACAGAGCATCATGCAGAATCCGTGTCTAAATATGGACTATGAATTGCGTAGATTGATAATATGACCAATGAGATTATGAGTCTGTTGATACTTGCTTGTAAAAGTGATTCTGAGAGTTGGAGAGTGGCATGTGATTGTCTATAAATATCTTGAAATGTCACCAGAACACAACCTTGATATAAATTTTGTTAGATTACAATGGAGATTGAGAAACAAAAATAATAATGAAACGAAATTGTAAGCTAATAATATTAGATTGATATAAATACAGCTGTCAGTGTTATATTACTATTATAATTATATAGAGAATTACACACATTAAAACATTCTCAAATATCAATTGTTATTTCAGGAGCCGCGGTGGCTCAGTGAGTTAAACGCTTGCTCGCTAACCTGAAGGTCCAGGGTTCAATACCGGCATAGGTCGAGATGATACCTTCAGATTTTTCAACCCAGTTTCCCCCTGTCAGTGAGTTAAACGCTTGCTTGCTAACCTGAAGGTCCAGGATTCAATCCCGGCATAGGTCGAGATGATACCTTCAGAATTCAAGGGTTTCATACCACTGAGAGGGAAATCTTCAAAAAATTATAAGAAAAACAAAAACGATATTTTTACCATATTTTAATTTGACATTACCATCTAAACTTTACAACAGTAAGTCTAAATTTTCCTGAAAAATAATCGAAACTTGCACAATTTCAATATTCCATTAGTTTCATATACTGGTAGACCAAACTTCTCGAGCATAAATATTCCAGGGTAATCCATCTTTAATGTTCCTCATCGTACTTCCAGATGTCAAATTTTTTCTCCATGACGGTGAAAAGGGACACGAATGCAGCAGCACACGTAAATGGTATAATTAATTTAGTTAAAATATGACTTCGTTTCACCATATTGGCCTCTGTGAATCTCCACACTTCATTTCTGAAAAAAAAAAGTAAAAGAATGAGATTTGCTAAATTTTGTGTTTGATGGTGATGAGAATATAGTCTCATGAAAGCACTGGCCTAGGTCACAAAGTAAAGATTATACAGTGTTAGATGGTGATGAGAACATAGTATCATGAAAGCACTGGCCTAGGTCACAAAGTAAAGATTATACAGTGTTAGATGGTGATGAGAACATAGTCTCGATGAAAGCACTGGCCTAGGTCACAAAGTAAAGATTATACAGTGTTAGATGGTGATGAGAACATAGTATCATGAAAGCACTGGCCTAGGTCACAAAGTAAAGATTATACAGTGTTAGATGGTGATGAGAACATAGTATCATGAAAGCACTGGCCTAGGTCACAAAGTAAAGATGTATGATAAAACAAGGTACAAGTTAAAGGTTAAGATAATTAGATATGTTTACTATGGATGTCTCTGAATTACAATTTTTGTGTATCGGGGGTCACTATCACCTCCTAGCCTCCTCAGGCATTTAGTCCTTCAGAGACACAGAGATTTTTGGCCCCACCCTCAGGCATTTTCTAGATACGTCCCTGCTGGTACTCTGTCAACAGTAAGCTACTTCATTTAGGCACCATGGAAAATAAATTTAAACTTTTCACATTTCGGACTATGCTCGACCAAAAACCATAGTAAAATTAATTTTACCTGATCCAGGGATCTTTCAGCCCCTTGGCAGCGAGTCTTTTCTCTAATTCCACCAGACGTGGAGCATCTGCAACCTTATAAACTTTGTAATCGGGTATTTCCGCTGGATGCATCTCAGAATCCTAAAATTCACCTTCCAGTTTCTCTCTACACCGGAAGTAAACAATTCAAGGTCATTCGTACAAATTTTATAACTGAATTAAAAACAGAAAACGAAACATTTTTTATTAAATTTTCGTTTTTAAAAAATATTTTGATTTTTTTTTTACAAAGATACAGCCGAGTTTTTTCAGTTTGCGAGTATCAACAGAAAACAATATTGGTAGGCATATTTTCGCCAAATTCCACGTGTTTGACTGTAACGCGAGAGTCCTTCCATTTTCTACTACCGAAATTCGAATCTTACATTAAGTAGTTCGGGTTGTATTTGGTCTGAGATGTCTTTGGACGATTAGTCTGTGGGCCAAGTCGTCTTTGGTCCGAGTTGTCTTTAAAAGTTGTCAGAGTTGTCTTTAAAAAAGTTGTCCGAGTTGTCTTTGACTTGAGTCCGAGTTGTCTTTGACATTTGTCCGAGTTGTCTTTGACATTAGTCCGAGTTGTCTTTGACTTTAGTCCGAGTTGTCTTTGACATTTGTCCGAGTTGTCTTTGACATTAGTCCGAGTTGTCTTTGACATTTGTCCGAGTTGTCTTTGACTTTGGTCCGAATAGTCTTTGACTTTGGTCCGAGTTGTCTTTAACTTTAGTCCGAGTTGTCTTTGACTTTGGTCCGAGTTGTCTTTGACTTTAGTCCGAGTTGTCTTTGACATTAGTCCGAGTTGTCTTTGACTTTGGTCCGAGTTGTCTTTGACTTTAGTCCGAGTTGTCTTTGACATTAGTCCGAGTTGTCTTTGACTTTAGTCCGAGTTGTCTTTGACTTTGGTCCGAGTTGTCTTTAAAAAGTTGTCCGAGTGTGTCTTTGACTTTAGTCCGAGTTGTCTTTGACTTTGGTCCGAGTTGTCTTTGACTTTGGTCCGAGTTGTCTTTGACATTTGTCCGAGTTGTCTTTGACTTTGGTCCGAGTTGTCTTTGACATTGGTCCGAGTTGTCTTTGACTTTGGTCCGAGTTGTCTTTGACTTTGGTCCGAGTTGTCTTTGACTTTAGTCCGAGTTGTCTTTGACATTAGTCCGAGTTGTCTTTGACTTTGGTCCGAGTTGTCTTTGACTTTAGTCCGAGTTGTCTTTGACATTAGTCCGAGTTGTCTTTGACTTTAGTCCGAGTTGTCTTTGACTTTGGTCCGAGTTGTCTTTAACTTTAGTCCGAGTTGTCTTTGACTTTGGTCCGAGTTGTCTTTGACTTTATTCCGAGTTGTCTTTGACATTAGTCCGAGTTGTCTTTGACTTTGGTCCGAGTTGTCTTTGACTTTGGTCCGAGTTGTCTTTGACTTGAGTCCGAGTTGTCTTTGACATTAGTCCGAGTTGTCTTTGACTTTAGTCCGAGTTGTCTTTGACATTAGTCCGAGTTGTCTTTGACTTTGGTCCGAGTTGTCTTTGACTTTGGTCCGAGTTGTCTTTGACTTTGGTCCGAGTTGTCTTTGACTTTGGTCCGAGTTGTCTTTGACTTGAGTCCGAGTTGTCTTTGACATTAGTCCGAGTTGTCTTTGACTTTAGTCCGAGTTGTCTTTGACATTAGTCCGAGTTGTCTTTGACTTGAGTCCGAGTTGTCTTTGACATTAGTCCGAGTTGTCTTTGACATTAGTCCGAGTTGTCTTTGACTTTGGTCCGAGTTGTCTTTGACTTTGGTCCGTGACGTCACAGCGGTAACTCCATTTTCTTTGCTTACTTCTGAATCCTCGAATTTAAAAGATTTTAAACTGCAATGAAAAATGCCTCGAAGATGTGTTGTAGGCGGCTGTTCTAATGAAAAAGACGAGAATTTGAACATCAGCATCCACTTGTTCCCCACTGAACCGAAATTACGAAGAATTTGGGAGAAAAATGTCCAAAATACTCGTGTTAACTGGTCTGCTACAAAATGGAGCAACATTTGCAGCGTCCATTTCTCCGAAGATTGTTTTGACAGTACGCCAATGATTATGTCTGAAATGGGGATTAAAATGACCAGGAAGCGAGTTTTAAAACCAGATGCCGTCCCCACCATATTCAGAATCATCAAGGATAGTGATGACCCTGTTCCAGCACCAACAAAGCATGTTAGTAGAGTTTTTCAGAAAAAATTGAATAGTTTTGTGTTACTATATATTTTGTGTTACGTATTATTTCCCCTGTGATAGTTCATATTGGAATCTGCCACTGTCACCTCTGGCTCCCCAGACCCCCGCCTCGAGGGGCTTTTGACAGTGGGAATACAGGGAGGGAGGTGGGGGGACAGTGGAATTACAGGGAGGGAGGTGGGCGGCAGACAGTGACATTTCTGGGGGAGGGGGGCATAGGCTATTCTTTCACATTGTAAACTAAAAAAATTGAAAAATGGGGGGGATCCATTTGCTTGAGGAACAGACCTTCCCAGACGTATTTTGAATTCAGTCTCGACAGTTGTCCCCTGATCACGTCAGTCTGCCCCCTATGTGTACCCCCTGTCTCAGGAGGCAGTGGTCATCAGAGATTCATTCTACTGTAACCAGACTTTGCTATGCTAGGTTGAATTGAAAATAGCAAGATAAACATAATCTTTAATCTTTGAATCCTTGGCTTAAAACGTTGAATCTGATATTAATGAAGTCAATATTTTAAAATTTCAGAATTGGATTTCTAATCGTAAATCTAAGAAGGAGGGTGGTGTGAATCGTAAAAAACTCCAAACCTTGAAATACAAACACCTGACTGTTATGACCGTATTTGTCAGAGAAAACTGCAAAGGTAAAATATTTTAAGCTAAAAGCCATTTTTTCCTGAATAGAGGTATTGATCCTATTTTTTTTAATAACCTGATTTTACCTAGAGTTCATACCTGGGGTCCTGTGTGTTACAGACTGTCCATGTTAAAGATCCCTCGTAAGTTGGAAATGTGCAGAAAAGTAGGAAGTAAAACTCCATTCATTTCATTTTCATTTGAAAATTCACCATTTTATTTTCTAGGATTGCCCATCACAGAATGGCAGAATGAATGGCAGAAAGTTTCAGAAGAAGAGATAATGGAATATCAGAATAAAGCTAAAGAAATGACCTTGAATTCTCATTTTTATCCTGAAAATAAATTAAGATTGGAGAAAGATTTACGTTTTTTGGTAGGTAGTTTTAATTAGTATGATTTGTCCATGTGATAATTTGTCTGTCCGTGTATTTCTCCACACCCTGGAAAGTGTTTGGGGGGAAGGGGGTGTTCATTGAGTCAAGCCATGCTTTCGTGGAAGTTTTGGATTTTTATCCTATCCTGTCAATGATGTAGGTAAGAGAGGCTGACATGGAAAAAGTGTCTAGTTGTTCAGATGGGACAATAAACTGAGGCCCCGTGTTCTACAGGCTGTACATGTTAAAGAGAGAGAGAAGTTGGAGATTGAAAAAGAGTATCCTGGTAAAATTTTACATCCTACTTTCTGCACCATGTGGGCTAATGAAGACGGGCAACACCATTCAGGGTGCAATGAGGGAAATTTTGCCAGGCCCAGAAATTAGGCTGTTCAACCCTGATTCATGTTACTTGGAATTAAAGCAATTTCCCTCATGGTACACTGTAGAGCTTGAAGCCATTTTATTTTATTAACAGTGTGAAGCCATTTTATTTTATTAATAGTTTGAAACCATGGAAACTGAAGGCTATGAAATATCATGTTTAATTCTAAACAAAGAAAATCATAAAATATCCATCATCGGTTCCACTAATGGCGTTGGTTTTTTGAAGCAGAACGCCGATTTTGTTTCCAACTTCAAGGACCACATGAAAATGCCGAAAGCACTGGTGCTGGATGAGACAAAAGAGGCTCACTCAATTGGGAAGGAATGTCTTCGAAAAGAACTTCAAACTTTATTTAACTACAAATACAGTAAGTCAAAATATCTTCTTTAAAATCTTTTATAGAACACACCATTTGATTGGTCAGATATTCTGATGACTTAGAACATATTTTTTTAACAATTTAATCAGATCATCAAATCTAATAGAAAATATCTATCCTGCCTTGCCATCAATAAAACAAAAATAACAAAATCAATATAATTTTTGAGGGTTTAACTTCTAGATTTCATGGAAAATTTTGTTGATTTTGAAAAATGTTTTTTGTAATTTTTTCGTAGGTTTGGCCCTAGGAAAGATGGCAACAGTGCCTTATTCTAAATATGGTGTCCAGTTTACCGTAGAGATGCCTGGAGGAAAAAGGTTCATGGTGCCATCAAATTATGGGAACGAAGAAAAAAAGGAACTTCTCAGTAGAAAAGATGAAATAGTCTTTAAGATTCTCAGGTATGTTAAAGAGACAGGTGCGCCATCTGTTTGACCAATCGTACCTTAGTCTCAGAAACAGGAATTGTTTAGCTAAAGTAATCAGTAATAGTGTTCACAACTCACTGTCGAAATTTGAGCCTTCAAATCCATGTGTGTCTAGAATTATCTACGTTTGAATGTTAAAATGACGACTCGTCTTTTCTTGAGACTCTGTGATATATAGAAAAGACATCTATAGAAATAGTGAGTAAATTCCTAGTTTGAGATATTTTTAAAGGAATTATGTGATTTTTGTACATTTCTGAAGACTATTTACATATATTCAAGACTCAAATCAAACCTGGAAAATGTTTTGAATGAACACAATATCTTTATATTTAGTTAAAAAATCATGAATATATTTTTTTCTCTTCCAGGAATAATCAGCATGCAAATGAAACTGATCAAGAAAAGATTGATCCAGTTAGAGAAGAAATGATGCTGAATGAAACTGATCAAGAAAAGATTGATCCAGTTAGAGAAGAAATGATGCTGAATGAAACTGATCAAGAAAAGATTGATTCAGTTGGAGAAGAAATGATGCTGGATGAAAATGGAAAAGAAAATGCGAAAGAAATTCTACTTCAAACAGAAGAAATTCAGAATATTAATGAAATTCCAACTCAACAGAATAAAATTTTGAAAGAAATTCCAAAACGAAAAAATAGAAAAATTCTGATAAAAAAATATGGTGATTCGAGTGAAATTACAAAGCAAAAAAATGAAAATGCCAGTGAAATTTCAACGGAACAAAATGGAGACTTGAAAAAACATTGTTTGCACATTTTATTATTAATTTTCGTGCAAGGAAGGGGTTGGTTCTCCCAAAAGTACAGGCCCTGGATGGAACAAATACTTCACTAAGACTATCAGAGAGAAGCCATATCCCGAAAGTACAGGCCAAGGATGAAAAAAGTACTTCATTTAGAATATCGGAGAGAAGCTATATGGTGATCTTGAATACCGAATGGATTTGATTTCAGGGAAGGGAGGGAGGGTTTGATTCTCCCAAAAGTACTGGCCCAGGATGGAACAAATACTTCATTAAGAAAATGGAATAAATGATCTGGAACTGTTGGGTAATTTTCTTCTGTTCTGATCTGAAATTAGATAAAATGACAACTCACCCAATTGGTTCTAGAGATTGTACTGTTATCTACTAATGGGCTAGGGTTTTAAAGATGTGGAACTGTACAGTGGGCCAGTAGAACTCTAGTACAAATATATTCCCTCTCTCTCTCTCTCTCTCTACCCTAGGGTCACCAGTAGATATAGAACTGTATTGATATGATAGTGTTTGATATAATACAAGTGATAATCATCAGAAGAGATAATTAGTCTGAATATAATCACTGTTAATAGATCAATACCTCCCCTCCCCTCCCCCTCTCTCTCTCTACCCTAGGGTCACCACTAGATATAGAACTGTATTGATATGATAGTGTTTGATATAATACAAGTGATAATCAATCAGAAGAGATAATTAGTCTGAATATAATCACTGTTAACAGATCAATACCCCCCCCCCCCCCCCTCTCTCTCTCTCTCTCTACCCTAGGGTCACCAGTAGATATAGAACTGTATTGATATGATAGTGTTTGATATAATACAAGTGATAATCAATCAGAAGAGATAATTAGTCTGAATATAATCACTGTTAACAGATCAATAGTCAATAGAACTCGTTCTCTTTCTTCTTCTTCCCTTCTGACTCATCTTCATGTCAAACTACGTCTTATACCTTGACTACAATAGTCACCTTTCTTTTATCTTCACAATATCAAGCTATTACAAACTACGTCTTATACCTTGGCAGAACAGAACAGTAGGATATAAAACTCCATTTCAACTTGATTTTCGTCTCTCTCCCTTTAATCTGAAAAAAAAAACTCTTATCGATAACAAATAATAGAAACATTGAAGATGGATTTTAACTACAGTTCGCAATAGAAACAATAATTAAACTGATAAAACAGGAATTGTTGATATATTAAGATGGATTGTAAAAACATGATCTTACATCACAATGGTCTGATTGGAAAGATATAAGAATGGTATTGGAAATCGATCACTGACCAAGATTTGAATTTTAAACGACGATTATGTCACGAGCGGGATCGTAGTTAAAACATAATTATTATAAAGATAACAGCTCGTTAGAAACTGTAACAGTCATTATACTGATAAGACAGAAACATCCATTGATATACGCCCACTTGACAATTAACCTGTGTTGTCGGCTGTTTGTAACTTTTCTCAGCAAGCCTTCTTTTACCAACTGGTCCTTGGTCAAACCTCTTGGTATTGATTTTACAAGGATAACAACTTAGGTTTACAAGGATCCTTTCTACCAGCCGATCCTTGGTCAAACCTCTTGGTAATGATTTTACAATGATAACAACTTGGGTTCACGAGGATCCTTTCTACCAGCTGGTCCTTGGCCAAACCTCTTGGCATTGATTTTACAAGGATAACAACTTAGGTTCAGAAGGAAGGCCCGAGGCCCAAAGCCCAAATTTATGAAGTGCCCATAGACCTTTCACAAGTCTGAGAGGGGGGAGGGGGGGTGGTGGTTTGCCAATTGGGCCACCCCTAAATACGTCACTAGTTCCAATGACCCCCCCCCCCCCCCTTTATATTACATGATGGTTAAATGCAAGACGTTATAACCTAGAAGTTTCTGAGCTCTCTATAGAGGAAGTACTTTAGATGAAGTATGTAGATCAGATCTATATGTCGATAGTATTGTTGACTAAACACAATCTAGTTCAGAATGATTGGTGCTGTAATCAATCAATGGCGGCGCCTTTGAGGGTAGGAAAATAATTTACACCCCCGATTGTACCCTACTTTATTTTTATACGTTTTTGTACCGAAATATTTGTCAGAAAGCACCAAATCAATTGTATTTTTCGAAAATTTCCTTGGAAGAACTCTTTCAGACGCTTCATGGCAGGTTTGTGACTATGACACCTCCACAGAGTTGCTGTATTTTGAATTCAGCATCGACAGTTGTTCCCCTTTAACTGCCCCTTACAGGCTGTAGATGTTAAAGATCCCTCGACAGTTGGAAATCGAAAAAGAGCAGGCTAATGCAGCTGTCCTGTCAAAATTTCCCACATTGCGCCCTGTTTGGCGTTTCCCGTCTTCATTATCCCACATGGTGAAGAAAAGTAGGACGTAAAACCCCATTCATTTCATTTCATTGTTTTGTAGCCCCTGTCACTGTGGACTGGTACTGTCAATGAAATCAATGTTAAACTATATGTATATATTAATCTATAATATTGATAATTATCTCGTTATTAATATTTACTACTGTATATCTAGACTAAAATCTAGTGTGCTAAGTTCAAGTTCAATTCTCTTCGTAAACAGTCCTGTCTAAAACTTGGTGGTAAACAGTCCTGTCTCAAACTTGGTGGTAAACAGTCCTGTCTCAAACTTGGTGGTAAACAGTCCTGTCTAAAACTTGGTGGTAAACAGTCCTGTCTCAAACTTGGTGGTAAACAGTCCTGTCTAAAACTTGGTGGTAAACAGTCCTGTCTAAAACTTGGTGGTAAACAGTCCTGTCTCAAACTTGGTGGTAAACAGTCCTGTCTCAAACTTGGTGGTAAACAGTCCTGTCTAAAACTTGGTGGTAAACAGTCCTGTCTAAAACTTGGTGGTAAACAGTCCTGTCACTTGGTGGTAAACAGTCCTGTCTAAAACTTGGTGGTAAACAGTTCTGTCTAAAACTTGGTGGTAAACAGTCCTGTCTAAAACTTGGTGGTAAACAGTCCTGTCTAAAACTTGGTGGTAAACAGTTCTGTCTAAAACTTGGTGGTAAACAGTCCTGTCTAAAACTTGGTGGTAAACAGTCCTGTCTAAAACTTGGTGGTAAACAGTTCTGTCTAAAACTTTGTGGTCCTGTGGTGTGATTGTAAACAACCTTTGGATAATTTTTGATAAAGAGCTTACAGATATGTTTCTGACACCGAACTTTTAACTCGTAGTGTTTAGTAATGAACTTAAGGATGCACTCGCCGATCAGGAGTGTTTTAAAAATATGTTGGTTGTATTGTAAATAACTTGGCGACAAATTGATTGAAATCATCAGAATATATTGATTCTACAGCAATTATTTTAATGGAACATTTTAACTAGGTGACTTTAACGATGATTTGTACGATTGGTGAATTTCTAAAGAAGAATTTTGTATGATTATTATACCTGATTGTTTTTAATGGTAATCTGTCTCGAATCAACGAGTTCCCTTAATAACTTACTAATTTTCATCAAATTTTTATTGATGGAGGATGGAATTTAATCAAAACGCTAAAAGATATTTTATAGTTGAATTTTTGATTCAATTTTCGTTGATCGAGGAAGGAATTGGATCGGAATGCTCAAAGATATTGTTTTTCAATTTGTGAATCGATTTTCATTGGTGGAGATTGGTTTTTGATTGATGTATTTTAAGATGTTTTATTTTGTATTTTCTCTACTATTGTAATATTGGTTTTTACAAAGATTTTCTCGTGCTCTGTTATAAACAGGAAATGTTGTGGAATTGTTTTGAATAGTGAATATGGAAGTTGGAACCTTATAAAATAGCAATGCTCGTGTTTGACTGGTGTTTAAATCTGTACCAGCAAGACAATTCTGTTAATCAAAACCTCGTTTAAAGTATGACAAAATCGAGAGTAAAAGTTGTATAGTAGTGAACTCCTCAAACGAGAAGTACCATCAGGTGTTTCTTATCTATTATAAACTTAATCCAACAGAAAACTTTAAGCTTGTGTCTTTTGGACTAAGAAATTATGGAGATAATAGAAATTCCCATGACTTAATCTTGGAAATAATTTGGATATTAAATTCCTCAATGTGGAACCTAGAATATTTTTGGTAAAAGCCAGAAAGCAAACAACTTAGTCTGTGAAATCCGACACCGGGTCGACTCTCGGAAGCACTGGCACAGGTATCAGAATTTTTCTAACTTTGGGGAGGATTCGAACCCACGACACCTTATCGCCTAGGAGACGACAATATTTTATAGGGGGTGAAAGCCGATACCGGCCGGACTTTCGGAAGCACTGGAAAAGGCATCATAATTTTTGAGGAGGATTCGAACCCACGACACCTAGTCGCCAAGCAGACGACAGTAGTCAATAGTGTCAATCCTATTTGTTATCGTTATCAAAATGGCGGATTGGTTTGGTTCAGAACCTGATATTTCTTCCATTCAGACACCAAAACCTCGATTGTCCGAATCATTCTACGCTAGTGGTAACATTTCATTATACTGGGAACAGACAGTGTCGGACTATATAAACTTAGTGTATATTCCAATCTGCAGTTCTATCGGAATAGTAGGAAATTCCGTAGCCTTCTGCGTTTTGGTACTGTCTAGTCTCCGTCATACGACAACGTGTTTGTACATGGCCGTAATAGCTTGTCTGGACACGTTGGTGCTTGTTTTAAATATTTGTTTCTTCGTACGCCGGTTTCCCGATTTTGAGATTTTTAACGAATGGTCTTGCGGTTTTATTATGTATCTGTTTTATTTCACGATCCATTTCGACGTCATGCTTCTCGTTGCCATGACGTTTGAGAGATATCTAGCAGTGACGTACCCTCTACACGCTGCGGGATTGATAACAGTGAAAAAAACTGTGAAAATCATATTTGTGTTGGGATTCATATCGTTTGCTTTGAATCTGTTTAATATTTTCACCCGAGGGATGGTAGAGGTACAACCAGGCGTTGAAGCCTGCTCTGTCAAAGGCGATACAAATGTCTTCTTCGTGGAGAAAATCTACACCTGGATCGATTCCACGCTCTACTGTTTCATTCCCGTCATTAGCTTGTTCACCATGAATGTTAAAATCATCCGAGTCTTGGAGAATGCAGCAAAAAGCCAGGAAAAGATGGCACCATCGCAGCACAGTTCTTCCATCACCATAGCAACGATTGACACGATTTCCCAGAATGATGACGTCTCCAATGAAGTTTCATCAACGTCATCTTCCGATGCAACTATCCAAAAACAATATACAACTAAATCTATCAAAACTTTTACAAAAATCTCAAAGACTGGAAACAAAATGGAGACTAAAAGTCAGCAACAAGTAACATTAATGCTGATTTTAGTCAGTTTTGCTTTCCTGATTTTAGCGGCACCGATCGCCATCTTCCGTTTGATAGAAAAATACGCATGGGTTCCACAAAATCTTCATGATCGTGCCCAACAGAATCTCGCCCATGCTGTTATAGATAACTTGATGTACACGAACCATGCCGTGAATTTTGTTCTCTATATGCTTAGTGTACTTCGGAAGTAGCGCATGGATGCCTTTGATATGAATCCATGTGCTTGTGTCATTGAAGCATACAGTCATCGCTTAAAGAGACAGGTGCGCCATTTATTTCCGGGAGTTGATTTGAGTCTTGAATGCATGTAGACATAGACTTGAAATAAATGAAAATAATTACTAGCTATTTTATTTTACAATGACTAGATGTAACACAGACAGAAAAGATAAGAAAATAAACAAAAAAGAACCTGTCCACAGACAATATAAATAGGTTCGAAATAGGTTTTTCTAGTTTGTGTATCATCAGTAGGCTATCTGTAACACAAAGTTTGTAGCTACCTTTATCGCCAAAAGGCCTACGATTCCGAACCAACTTCTGCAAGTGGTTCCTTAGTTGAAATGGTCATTACGTTATAGTTTAGCTTAATTGGTATTTGTATTTGTGACGTCATAAGCTGGTAAATTTTGCACAATTTCAGGAACCACATAGAATGGGGCGGGTAAAAGAATCCATTAGTGTTCCCTAGATATGAACATAACCTTGAAAAGTTCTTATGAATTCTTTCCAATTTAGCTTCTGTCGCTGTAGAAAATTAAATCCATAAGTGATCCCCATATATACATACAAAGATTAGAAAAAACCCCCTTTTGAATCCATTTCTGTTAAGTTATGGAACTGAGTTATTCGACTCAACGTATTGAAGACGTATTGTCCCAGAGTCTACATCTCTCACTGTTACAAGACTTTTATCAAAGTCATCTTTATACAAATCTTTCTACTTCTCCGAATCTTTGAACACTTACAGAAATAATGCTATCAACACAGCGATTAGGCCTAAACCGGAAGTGGTGGTTGTTACGCCGCCATTTTTACCGTCGTCTGCTGATACCGATCCTTTGTCGTCTACCAAATTCTCGCTTTGATCATTTCCGTATTTAGAATCGGGGTTACTATCCGGTCGGTTGTTATTTTCAAAAGGTGGTTGAGTGGGTACAATTTCCCATTCTGGTTTGGTTGATGGTTGTTTTGTTGTAGATGGTACGATGACGTCATTTCCTGTTGGCCTATCTGTCGATGTCGTTGTTGGTTCTGTAGTCGTAGACGTACTTGTAGTTGTAGTTGTTGTAGAAGGTTGTAACTCGATCTCTGGGAAATGTTTGGCTACTGCTTGATGAATTGATTTTAATAGCGGAAATTTTCCCTGTTTACAAAACGCTCCTTTAAAATCATCTAGATCGAAAGACCAAATCATGACACCACCAAGGTTCTGTTCAACCATCCAATCCACCTGTCAATATACAAATATCAAGGCTTCATCTTGACAACTTAAACTGGGCAGCTCAATAAATAGCCTTATACGACAGAGGCTCCCTTTTTCAAAAACCTTGGCATATAAAATACATGAGCATAGCAAACTTGCCATAGAAAGTGGCTTAGGAGTTCATAAGTGACACCACCGCAATTATAATAAGTGTTAGATGGTGATGAGAACATAGTCTTGTAGAGTTCACGAAGGCTATGATAACACCATAACAGTTTAAGAAGTATATTTGAATGATGATACAGTTTTACAACATATTTTAGTAATGACAAACATTATATAATCGACATACGATGAAGCTTACTCGACAAACGAACAACATGCCTTGACTAACATGGCGGCTTCGCTATCCCATCATGCACTTGATCGGACCTACAGAACAGGAGCGAAAGAGTGTGCACATAGACTAAAGAGTGTGCACATAGACTTACTAACCCACAGTCTCATGAAAGCACTGGCCTAGGTCACAATAATGAATAAAAAGAGCTAGCAACGCCGGAGTAGTTAGGCTTATTTCAACGAAGCTGTTGATCTTGTGGGAAAATTAGGGACTATACCTTTTCAGTAACACTACGGTTATTATCATATCCGACCCACTTGTTGTTTATATAGGCGTAGGGTGATTTCTGTACAGGGTCCCATTCATAAGTAGCATTCTCAAAAACTTCACAGATCTGGAATAGAAAGATCATAGTTTGGTTTAGCTAGTATTATAAAGAGTTAACTCCCTTCTTATATTATTGCTATACCAGTTACTTATCCGCTTTTCCATGTTAGCTTATTATCAGCCCATTACTGAGAACACGCCGTTGACGTAGTTCCTTACAAAACCAATGGACGTTTTCCCAACGATCTGCTGCTTACCTCATAATAAGACAGTTGGCCTTTCATGTGTCTGTACGGACCTTTATCAGCTGGTCCTACCACCTCGGCACCAACAGAATAATCTGTATCATTAGTCAGGATGTAGGCCACACCATACCCTGCTATTCCAACTGTTAACTTCTGTCTGTCAGCACCGTTTACAATCCACTGGTTTACAGTCCATTCCTAAAATAATAATGATAATGATGATAATGATAATGATAATGATGATAATGATGATGATGATGATGATAATGATGATGATCATGATGATGATAATGATGATGATAATGATAATGATGATAATGATGATAATGATGATAATAATGATGATGATGATAATGATAATGATGATAATGATGATGATGATGATGATGATAATGATAATGATGATAATGATGATGATGATGATGATGATGATAATGATGATAATGATGATAATAATGATGATGATGATAATGATAATGATGATAATGATGATGATGATGATGATGACCTATTCAATGGTCTACTTTTGGTGATTGTAAAGATGTTTTCTAAAAAATTTATGTGTATCAGGGACAAGATTTGAACAACATTTAGAAGTGGAGAGTAGATATAACAAAAAACACAAGGGGTATATTATGGTATAACTCACTTCTTTAATAACAAAGCACATTACGTTTCAACACAATTTACACGCGTAGTGTAGTAGTGGAAACATGTACAGGGACACTGATAGCATCAATTTACACCATTCTAATTTTAAATCAGATGTCTGTGGTTCCTGTAATTCCACTAAAACTAAGTTATGACGTCACTATCGCAAAAGACTGTAGATATTATTGGAAGTAGGATTAGACTTTACAACTTACCACATTCATAGAAGGTGAGAATCTGGGGTCTGATTTTCTACCATACAGCGGACTGTTAAAACCAGCTATTTTATTCCAACCTCCGAAAAAATCATACGCCATTAGATTAATAAAATCAACTTCTCTAAAATAATAAAACGTTTGAATTAAGATAACTGAGTCTTAATAATATTATAGCAAATGAAATGAATGGAGTTTTACGTCCTACTATAGCACAATGATGGCTCAATGAATTGGAGGCTTGCTCGCTAATCTAGCAGTCCGAAATTCAATACTGGCACAGTGGTGGTGCCATTCTCCCGGTACAAATACTGGGTGAAGGGAAAGGGGGACACCTTCAAAGTTGAGAGGGTACGTCCACTACTGTCCTGTCATAGGTTTTTGGAGCACCATCCGATGTCAGTTATACAGATCTGAAAGCATGTAGATGTTCTGTTGAGACAACCGACATGGCATTATCTCAAATCCACAAGAATTCTTACCTGAACACGTTCTCTACTTCGAATCCTTTCTCTCGTTTTTCAGAACTGGCAGGTCCTGCTATAGATATCAATAATCTCGGTTTACCAGACTGACTTGCTTCTTCAGCAAACTGAAGGCGTAGATCCTGGAAAATTCAAATTCATCGTGTGGGTGCACTTCCGGTCAAACAATTGCAAAGCGGAAGTGGGGTGGTGTTTTTTAAATTTATGGGCAAGATTAGATTTAAAATTCTGAAAGCATACGACTATTCTTATTTTTGTTTGATGTAACCAAATAAATGACGTCAAGGTTTCAACACTTTAACCAAGTGAGCTACAGTTCGTCCCCATTACATATTTTAATCCAGTAAAATACTTACATGCAGTAATAAAGTATAATTCCGTTTGGTTCCCAGAGGATCTCCTGGATATTCCCAGTCTAAATCTAATCCGTCAAAATTCCACCGTCTTAGATATTCCACTGCATTTATAGAGAACAGCCTTCTGGATTGAGCATCACTGACAGCTTTAGCGAATCCTAAACTTTGTTGTAACCAACCGCCCACAGATAACAAAGTTTTTAACTCCGGGTATTCTAGTTTAAATTCGTTAAATTTCTCATAACGTGGTTTTGATCCGTTCACACCCACGTCGTCCGGTCTGGTCGGAGAGAGTTCTAACGTGCTCGTGTTGATGTTAGCGAAGGCGTAGATTAAATGTGAACAGTATTGGGGGTCGATGTCTTTGATACAGAAATGTGCCGCCGGTTCCAATAGATCACATGACCAGTTAGTAAAATAACACACACGGCGGAAGGCTTGAGCTGAAAAAAAGTACAAAATACGAATTTTTGAGCGAAAAATAAAAATTTCTAAACGAAAAATAAAAATTTCAAAACAAAAAATAAGAATTTCAGAGCGAAAACTAAGTTATCAGAGCTAAATATAAGAATTTCAGAGCGAAATATAAGAATCCCAAAGCGAAATATAAGAATCCCAGAGCAAAAAATAAAAATTCCAAAACGAAAAATAAGAATCCCAGAGCAAAAAATAAAAATTCCAAAACGAAAATTTAAGAATCCCAGAGCAAAAAATAAAAATTCCAAAACGAAAAATAAGAATCCCAGAGCGAAATATAAGAATTTCAGAGCGAAAAATAAGAATTTCAGAGAGAAAAATAAGAATTTCAGAACGAAATATAATAATTTTAGAGCGAAATATAAGAATATCAGAGCGAAATATAAGAATATCAGAGCGAAATATAAGAATATCAGAGCAAAATATAAGAATTTCAGAGCAAAAAATAAGAATTTCAAAACGAAAAATAAAAATTTCAGAGCGAAAAATAAGAATTTCAGAGCGAAAAATAAGATTATCAGAGCGAAATATAAGAATTTCAGAGCGAAAAATAAGAATTTCAGAGCAAAAAATAAGAATTTCAACACGAAAAATAAAAATTTCAAAACGAAAAATAAGAATTTCAGAGCGAAAAATAAGAATTTCAGAGCGAAAAATAAGAATCCCAGAGGGAAATATAAGAATTTCAGAGAGAAAAATAAGAATTCCAGAAATAACGATGGACTTACCAGATAACAAGAAGAGAGTTATGATACAGGTAGAAACCTGAAAACAACCAGGTTTTAACATAATAACTTTCTATTTACTCTCTGAAACATAAAAAATAGATATCAGATGATTCTAAACTATAACCATTTCCCCAGTGTTGATAAACTTTAACTCGACATCGTCTCGTCTGAAAACACACAAATAAACAACATTCAAATCTTTAGTAAACACTATATTATGTGGACCGGGCGTTAAATAGGCTGCTAGTTATCTTCTAAAATCAGTAGAAACTTGACAATGAATCACGACTTAAATCATAGCGACTGGTTGAACCAAGTCACGGGACCACGCCTTAAGGAGACACCTAAAAAGAAGATACAGAATTTAAAGTAATCTACCAAACTAAGTATCTAATAGGTTAACACAATATAACCTACCATAAGCAACGTATTTTATTTATTCTTTAGGTCAGGGGAAAATGTTTTTGATTTATGAGCTTAAATCCTGAATTTACCGAATACAACCAATCATAGTCATCGATTACACGTACAGTCATATTGTTTACAGACTGTCTGTCAAGGGCACTGATTGTTTGTATTCGTTTGCGGATGATTTGATTAATATTCGAAATGTTTCTTTACACCTGTCGATTCACGACGAACTCGAAAAGTATAGGTTTAGTCAATTCCATTCAGGATGATTCATTATTTTAACATTTTCATCAAATTAAATTTCCAGGATGTCAATGTTTACTCTGCGATATTAATATCAAAATGTTTACTCTGCGATATTAATATCAAAATGTTTACTCTGCGATATTAATATCAAAATGTTTACTCTGCGATATTAATATCAAAATGTTTTCTCTGCGATATTAATATCAAAATGTTTACTCTGCGATATTAATATCAGAATGTTTACTCTGCGATATTAATATCAAAATGTTTACTCTGCGATATTAATATCAAAATGTTTTCTCTGCGATATTAATATCAAAATGTTTACTCTGCGATATTAATATCAAAATGTTTACTCTGCGATATTAATATCAACACGTTTACATCCATCGATTCGTGATTTGACGAAAAATATAGGATTAGTTAGATCCATATGGATGAAACATTCTTCTACGGTTTTAATCGATTTAAAGTTGTAAGATTCCAATGTTTATGGGGATAGAAACCTGGGTTAATTCAGTTCTCTATCGGAAGAGTCACGTGTCAACTCTTTATTACATGTTTTCAATAGTTCATATTCTTGAATTAAATATACACTGTTTAAAATATATTGTTTATCTCTGTATGGATGCCGGGAGCCGCGGTGGCTCAGTGAGTTAGACGCTTGCTCGCTAACCTGAAGGTCCAGGGTTCAATCCTAGTATAGGTAGAGATAATACCTTCGGATTTTTCAACCCGGTTTCCCCCTTGTCAGTGATGTAGGTAAGAGAGGCTGACATGGAAAAGGTGTCTAGTCATTCGGATGGGACAATAAACCGAGGTCCTGTGTACTACAGGCTGTGCACGTTAAAGATCCCCGGACAGTTGGAAATCGAAAAAGAGCAGGCTAATGCCGCTGTTCTGGCAAAATTTCCGTCATGGCACACTGCATGGTGTTGCCCGTCTTCATTAGCCCACATGATGCAGAAGAGTTCATTTCATTTTCTGTATGGATGCCAACTGTGGAATATTACACACAAATCGCTTCCTAACTTTCTATGTGCTTGGCGCAAATGTGTGAGAAGAATATGGAATATCCCCAGTCGTACTCATAACAGATTCCTATCTTTAATATATTGTAATTATGTCAATATTGATGTACAAATTCAAAAAAGTTTATTGAATTATTTGAATAATGAGAATGTATGTACTAGTTTATGATGTAAATTAGATATTAATGGCAGTAAGTTAAATACATACAACAATATTAATTTAATATATAATAAATATGATATATGTAAATATTATTCAAATAAATACTGAATTCCTTAAAACGAAATATTTGATAAAAGTACGGAAAACTGCGCCTAAGGGGCTCCGTAAAATAAAGTTTTAACGCATGTGTACTCAAATTTAATAGAAAATTTTTATATCTAAAGATATTATGTTGGGATTAGTAAGTTTTTATCACACCTTATATTAAAATAAAGTTCGCACTAAGTTCAAATTTAGATAACAAGTATAGAAAGTAAAGAAAGGAGTATATCTATAAATAGTGTTCTAATTTATCTATTATTCTACCTACTTCTCAATATCATCTAGAGATTATACGTATAGAAATATCTTCAAATACCTGAACTGTGATATATAGGACTTGCTCATAAATACACGATATATCAAGATTCAATAAGGTTTATATTACGTTCAAAAAGTGTTGTATTTTGAAATTTGAGTTCATTGTATATTTGAAATAATGATGATAATATAAAATGTTAGAAGTCGTAGTTAGAAGACATATATTAAAGATGGGTTCCCTTATTTTCATTTATGAAAATGCTAATATTTATATGAATAGAAAGTAGATGTGTTCTAATGACTTGGAAAAATACCAGTTTGTCTCAAATATCCATAATTAATTCATAATTAACTAAATTAGAAGAGAATTACCAGCAGAATTCCTATGAGTGACCAATCAAGAAAGGTTAAAAAGTCTGTTTTTGTTTATCCAGACTGAACATACATGGACATTTATGATTGGTTAAACTCTTAATTATATGCAATAAGAACATAATGATATGATTAAGAATACATGATAATTCATTAGAAACACCAATTAATCGAATAGTTTGCTTAATTTGACACTAAAAAATAAGGAAACCCATCTTTAATGATGATATTCTGAAGTTGTATTTTTGTTATATTATAGATTGTTATGTAATCTGTTTTTCTATGAATGATATTAATCATGTCTTTCTTCGTCTGAAAGAATTAACAAGTTATCAGACAATTTATATTTGAATAATTTCATATTGGTGTAAATAATTTGGTGAATGTATTTATAATGGTAATATTCGGATTTTGATATTAAAGGTTGATTCGTAGATCGTAAAAAAGATTAAGTTCAAATTGAAATGAAATTAAAGGGATACTACGTCTTAGAATGAACATAAAATTTTAATTTTGCTCAAATTTGGTCAATAAGAGTATATATTCATCAGTAGATATACCTGGTGTAATAACTATACATTAAAATCTTAATAATTGGCAAAGTTTGTTTGTATACACCGGAAGATGATTGTTTCCTGTTTTAGCGTTGATTACCCAGACTCTTTTTTCTCAAACTGAACGGACTTGTCGCTTGCTCACTTTTTAAAAAAATTCTGATTATAGTTTTATTGTCGCTTTTTCAAACTTGATAAAGTGTGGGATGTATACTTATTTTACCAATGGTCACTATTAAACACAAATATTAGCCACAGGACGAGTGTATTCTAAGACGTAGTATCCCTTTAAGGAGTCTAGATTATGTCTATTGTATGACAAATATATAACTTCAAACAGTTTTGTTTATTATTTGTGTAGTTTTTTTCTGTTATTCCACGTGACCTGATAATAAATTTACTCTTTTCAAATATATTTTTATATCGTATTATTTATAGACGTATGTAATTCAGAAATAACGCATGGATGCCTTCGTGTAATTGAAGCACACCGCCACCCCTTAAAGGGACAGGTGCGCCAAATTTGAGTCTTGAATGCATGTAGATATAGACTTGAAATAAATGAAAATAATTTCTATTTTATTTTACAATGACTAGATGTAACACAGACAGAAAAGATAAGAAAATAAACAAAAAAGAACCTGTCCACAGACAATATAAATTACAAGATACAATATTTACATCAGATATCAAAAAGGAAAAAAAGGGGTCGTCATACGGGATTCGAAATAGGTTTTTTCTAGTTTGTGTATCATCAGTAGGCTATCTGTAACACACAGTTTGTAGCTACCTTTATCGCCAAAAGGCCTACGATTCCAAACCAACGTCTGCAAGTGGTTCCTTAGTTGAAATGGTCATTACGTTATAGTTTAGCTTAGTTGGTATTTGTATTTGTGACGTCATAAGCTTGTCAATTTTTGGAATTTCAGGAACCGCAGAGAATGGGGCGGGTAAAAGGAATCCATTAGTGTTCGTTATGAATGCCTTTCATATTTAGCTTTGATGGCGATAGAAAATTGAATCTACAAAGGCTAGAAAACTTTTTGAATCCATTTCTGTTAAGTTATGGAACTGAGTTATTCGACTCAACGTATTGAAGACGTATTGTCCCAGAGTCTACATCTCTCACTGTTACAAGACTGTTATCAAAGTCATCTTTATACAAATCTTTCTACTTCTCCGAATCTTTGAACACTTACAGAAATAATGCTATCAACACAGCGATTAGGCCTAAACCGGAAGTGGTGGTTGTTACGCCGCCATTTTTACCGTCGTCTGCTGATACCGATCCTTTGTCGTCTACCAAATTCTCGCTTTGATCATTTCCGTATTTAGAATCGGGGTTACTATCCGGTCGGTTGTTATTTTCAAAAGGTGGTTGAGTGGGTACAATTTCCCATTCTGGTTTGGTTGATGGTTGTTTTGTTGAAGATGGTACGATGACGTCATTTCCTGTTGGCTTATCTGTCGATGTCGTTGTTGGTTCTGTAGTCGTAGACGTACCTGTAGTTGTAGTTGTTGTAGAAGGTTGTAACTCGATCTCTGGGAAATGTTTGGCTACAGCTTGATGAATTGATTTTAATAGCGGAAATTTTCCCTGTTTACAAAACGTTCCTTTAAAATCATCTAGATCGAAAGACCAAATCATGACACCACCTAGGTTCTGTTCAACCATCCAATCCACCTGTCAATATACAAATATCAAGGCTTCATCTTGACAACTTAAACTGGGCAGCTCAATAAATAGCCTTATATGGTAGAGGCTCCCTTTTTCAAAAACCTTGGCATGTAAAATACATAAGCATAGCAAACTTGCCATAGAAAGTGGCTTATGAAAAGCACTGGCCTAAGTCAGAATAATAAATGATAAGAGCTAGCATTGCCGGACAGTGGCGAGCCAGCTTTACGTCGGAGAGAGGACGAGATATCTAAAATTGCCTGAATCTATAACCCAGTTATGAGATTTTTGCCCGAAAAACTTGCTTTCGGGGTTGCGAGTGAGGGTGGCTGCCCCTTCTGCCACCGGAGTAGTTAGGCTTATTTCAATGAAGCTGTTGATCTTGTGGGAAAATCAGGGACTATACCTTTTCAGTAACACTACGGTTATTATCATATCCGACCCACTTGTTGTTTATATAGGCGTAGGGTGATTTCTGTACCGGGTCCCATTCATAAGTAGCATTCTCAAAAACTTCACAGATCTGGAATAGAAAGATCATAGTTTGGTTTAGCTAGTATTATAAAGAGTTAACTCCCTTCTTATATTATTGCTATACCAGTTACTTATCTGCTTTCTCTATTTATAACTGTCGAGAGATCTTTGACAGTCTGTAGCACACAGGGCCTCGGTTTATTGTCTCATTCGAACGACTAGACACTTTTTCCATATCAGCCCAAGAGACAAGGGATCTTTAACGCAAATAGCCTGTAGGCCCCAGTTTTTGTCCCATCCGAATGTTTGGACGCTTTTCCATGTCAGCTCATCACTGAGCACATGCCGTTGACGTAGTTCCTTACAAAACCAACGTACGTTTTCCCAACGATCTAGGCCACCCAATGACTGTACATTTGTGAGAATCAACCCTCCCCAAAATCAAAACCAAGGGACCTTTGCTCTACGATCTGCTGCTTACCTCATAATAAGACAGTTGGCCTTTCATGTGTCTGTACGGACCTTTATCAGCTGGTCCTACCACCTCGGCACCAACAGAATAATCTGTATCATTAGTCAGAATGTAGGCCACACCATACCCTGCTATTCCAACTGTTAACTTCTGTCTATCAGCACCGTTTACAATCCACTGGTTTACAGTCCATTCCTGAAATAATAATGATGATGATGATAATGATAATGATGATAATGATGATGATGATGATGATGATGATAATGATGATGATAATGATAATGATGATGATAAACCATTCTAATTAGCATCAATTTACATCATTCTAATTTTCAATCAGACGTCTGTAGTTCTTGTTAAAGAGATTGTAAAGAGGTTTTCTAAATTTTTTATGTGTATCAGGGACACTGATAGCATCAATTTACATCATTCTAATTTTCAATCAGATGTCTGTAGTTCTTGTTAAAGAGATTGTAAAGAGATTTTCTAAATTTTTATATGTATCAGAGACACTGATAGCATCAATTTACACCATTCTAATTTTCAATCAGACGTCTGTGGTTCTTGTTAAAGAGATTGTAAAGAGGTTTTCTAAACTTTTTATGTGTATCAGGGACACTGATAGCATCAATTTACATCATTCTAATTTTCAATCAGATGTCTGTAGATCTTGTTAAATAGATTGTAAAGAGGTTTTCTAAATTTTTTATGTGTATCAGAGACACTGATAACATCAATTTACATCATTCTAATTTTCAATCAGATGTCTGTGGTTCTTGTTAAAGAGATTGTAAAGAGGTTTTCTAAAATTTTTATGTGTATCAGAGACACTGATAGCATCAATTTACATCATTCTAATTTTCAATCAGATGTCTGTGGTTCTTGTTAAAGAGATTGTAAAGAGGTTTTCTAAAATTTTTATGTGTATCAGAGACACTGATAGCATCAATTTACATCATTCTAATTTTCAATCAGACGTCTGTGGTTCTTGTTAAAGAGATTGTAAAGAGGTTTTCTTAACTTTTTTTATGTGTATCAGAGACACTGATAGCATCAATTTACATCATTCTAATTTTCAATCAGACGTCTGTGGTTCTTGTTAAAGAGATTGTCAAGAGGTTTTCTAAAATTTTTATGTGTATCAGGGACACTGATAGCATCAATTTACATCATTCTAATTTTCAATCAGATGTCTGTGGTTCTTGTTAAAGAGATTGTAAAGAGGTTTTCTAAATTTTTTATGTGTATCAGGGACACTGATAGCATCAATTTACATCATTCTAATTTTCAATCAGATGTCTGTAGTTCTTGTTAAAGAGATTGTAAAGAGATTTTCTAAATTTTTATATGTATCAGAGACACTGATAGCATCAATTTACACCATTCTAATTTTCAATCAGACGTCTGTGGTTCTTGTTAAAGAGATTGTAAAGAGGTTTTCTAAACTTTTTATGTGTATCAGGGACACTGATAGCATCAATTTACATCATTCTAATTTTCAATCAGATGTCTGTAGATCTTGTTAAATAGATTGTAAAGACGTCTGTGGTTCCTGCAATTCCACGAAAACTAAGTGTTTTATGACGTCACTATCGCAAAAGACTGTAGATATTATTAGAAGTAGGATTAGACGAGCCCAGATTCAAACTGTAAAACTCTAGGACTTACCACATTCATAGAAGGTGAGAATCTGGGGTCTGATTTTCTACCATACAGCGGACTGTTAAAACCAGCTATTTTATTCCAACCTCCGAAAAAATCATACGCCATTAGATTAATAAAATCAACTTCTCTAAAATAATAAAACGTTTGAATTAAGATAACTGAGTCTTAATAATATTATAGCAAATGAAATGAATGGAGTTTTACGTCCTACTATAGCAAGGGAAGTAAATCTTGTGCATTCAAATCTTGCTGAATTCGCCAGAGCCTTGGTGGCTCAATGAGTTGATTACTTGCTTGCTAAACTAGCAGTCCAATAATCTGTACTGAGCACAGTGGCGGTGCCAACCTCCCGAGACTGGGGTACAATTAGGGGGTGAGAGGGGGTCACTTTTCGAGGCTGAGAGGATACCCTCACCCAATGGCGCCGCCATTGACCTGTCATAGGTCTGAAAGCATGTAGATGTTCGGATGATACCGACATGGCATTATTCCAATTCCACAATTGTTACCTAGCAACGTTCTCTACTTGGAATCCTTTCTCTCGTTTTTCAGGACTGACAGGTGCTGCTATAGATATCAATAGTCTCGGTTTACCAGACTGACTTGCTTCTTCAGAAAACTGTAGGCGTAGATCCTGAAGAATTCAAAGTTATAATATATGGGTGCACTTCCGGTAAAATAAATGCAAAAGCGGAAGTGTGTGAAGGGTGGTCGTTGACCGAACGTTTCTAACGCATATATATTTCTGAAAGCACACCATTATTTTGACATAACCAATCAAATGACGTCAAGGTTTCAACACTTTAACCAAGTGAGCTACAGTTCGTCCCCATTACATATTTTAATCCAGTAAAATACTTACATGCAGTAATAAAGTATAATTCCGTTTGGTTCCCAGAGGATCTCCAGGATATTCCCAGTCTAAATCTAATCCGTCAAAATTCCACCGTCTTAGATATTCCACAGTATTGATAGAGAACAACCTTCTGGATTGAGCGTCACTGACAGCTTTAGCGAATCCTAAACTTTGTTGTAACGAACCGCCCACAGATAACAAAGTTTTTAACTCCGGGTATGCTAGTTTAAATTCGTTAAATTTCTCATAACGTGGTTTTGATCCGTTCACACCCACGTCGTCCGGTCTGGTCGGAGAGAGTTCTAACGTGCTCGTGTTGATGTTAGCGAAGGCGTAGATTAAATGTGAACAGTATTGGGGGTCGATGTCTTTGATACAGAAATGTGCCGCCGGTTCCAATAGATCACATGACCAGTTAGTAAAATAACACACACGGCGGAAGGCTTGAGCTGAAAAAATGAAATGATTGGAGTTTTACTTCTCTGCACCTTATGGGCTAATGAAGATGAGCAACGCCATACAGTGTGCAATGAGGGAAATTTTGCCAGGACAGCAGTATTAGGCTGCTCTTTTTCTGTACCACACAGGGCCTCGGTTTATTGTCCCAAACGACAGGGGGAAAAACTGGGTTGAAAAATCTGAAGGTATGATCTCGACCAATGCTGGGATTGAACCCTGGACCACCAGGTTATCGAGCAAGCATCTGACTCACTGAGCCATCACTGACAGGGGGAAACTGGGTTGAAAAATCTGAGGGTATGATCTCGACCAATGCTGGTATTGAACCCAGGACCACCAGGTTATCGAGCAAGCATCTGACTCACTGACAGGGGGAAACTGGGTTGAAAAATCTGAAGGTATGATCTCGACCAATGCTGGGATTGAACCCTGGACCACCAGGTTAGCGAGCAAGCATCTGACTCACTGACAGGGGGAAACTGGGTTGAAAAATCTGAGGGTATGATCTCGACCAATGCTGGGATTGAACCCTGGACCACCAGGTTAGCGAGCAAGCATCTAACTCACTGACAAGGGGAAACTGGGTTGAAAAATCTGAAGGTATTATCGTGACCTATGCTGGAATTGAGCCCTGGACCTTCAGGTTAGCGAGCAAGCGTCTTACTCACTGAGCCACCGCGACTCCAATTAACTGAAAAGGGGTACAATGAACAATTTTAGAGGGAAATAAGATTTCAGAAATAACAATGGACTTACCAGATAACAAGAAGAGAGTTATGATACAGGTAGAAACCTGAAAACAACCAGGTTTTAACATAATAACTTTCTATTTACTCTCTGAAACATAGAAATATAGATTGGGGTTATCGGCGAAATTATACATCACAATGTCAAGCTATTACTAACTTCGTCTTATACCTTGACTGTAATAGTCACCTTTCTTGTATCACATCTTCACAATGTCAAGCTATTACAAACTTCGTCTTATACCTTGACTGTAATAGTCACCTTTCTTGTATCACATCTTCACAACGTCAAGCTATTATGAACTTCGTCTTATACCTTGACTGTAATAACCACTCTTCTTGTATCACATAATGCAGCAATTTGATTGGATTGTACTCCAGCGAATACAGCTAATCAGAGCCCTCGACAGAAAGATTATAAACCATTCTGATGTACGTGTAATCGAGGGCTGTGATTGGCTGTATTCGGTTACGTACAATCCAGTCAAATCTCTGCATTAACAAACTTCCATGATACAAGAAATGTGGCTATTACAGTCAAGGTATTAGACACAGTTCGTTATAATTTGATATTGTGAAGATGTAACTATTAGGGTATGTTATAAACAGTCGTCGCGAGATTTATCAAACAAGTTAGAATATTATTAAGAGCCTAGTAGAATAAACAGAACGACTAGTTTTATAGACTAGCGAGATATCTTACAGTATCGTATCAAGTCGGGTTTTAAATGTTATTAAAGTTAGATACGTCGTATAAAACATCTCATTCACGTCGTGGCGTCGCCAGTCTCTCGAGGCTGGAGGTACAAATTGGCGGGGGTGTAAGGCGGGGCGAACTGACTCAAATGATGGGACAACTATCGGCAGCTCTGGGGAAGCACTATATGCTCCAATGGAGCGCCTGGAAGGGTTTTTCCCCCAGAAAGTTTTTGAGAAATAGAATTTTGAATGCAATTTGGGGTTTCAAATGAAACGATTTCAAAAGTGATTATTTGTCCAATCAGAATTCGTAAGAACGAAGTGGCCATATATTACAAAAAATGAAAATGTTACGGGATATCAAAATGTCTCAGTTGGCAAAGATGATTCGTCATACCCCCCACGAGGTTCAACTTTATCTGTTAATGATATTTAAACCCCTGTATAACATTACGTGAAATTTTAAATCAATATTCTCACTTTCCTGGTGTTATTGTTCGCGTTTTTTCTTTCTTTTGTTCATTGATGTCTTTGCCAATTTCAACTTAACACGAATGAGAAAAAACTAGCGACATGTTATTTTAAAGATGGGATTATCCGTTTATCGGTCGTGATGACATACGGTGTACTGGGGTCACGGTCAAACGTTTGTCATACGTTTGTACAAATCGTAACTGTAACGGTTGAAAGATAACATGGTTACAATGTAAATTATATTCATCTCGTCATGTTGATGTATCTGGAGGTTTAACAAAATACTCTTTTTCAATTGAAGTTTAAAGTGACAGGTTCGCCTTCCGTTTGACAAATCATACTTAAGTCTCAGAAACAGGAATTTTTAAGCTAAGCTAATCAGTAATAGTGTTCACAACCCACCGTTGAAATTTGAGTCTTCAAATCCATGTGTGTCCAGAATTATCTCCGTTTAGAAGTTAAAATGACGACTCGTCTTTTCTTGAGACTCTGCCATATATAGAAATAAACAAGTTGAATTTGAAAGAATTATGCGATTTTAATGCAGTTCTAGTTTTCCAACCATTGCCCTCAAAAATCGATGGAATGGGAGGTGGTGGGTTTGTTTAACGCCCGGGGTACTTAGTCACCGTCTGTGAACTGCCGTTCCACTGTTTCTAAATAACAAAACATACGATGTATCTATAAGATTGATGTTACTAAGTTACTGTCCTGTTTTCAACTCAAACACTCCACAAGACCATCTAATACTTTAAGCTCCATAGTTTCAACTGTAAATAGTAGAAACCAAGCGGAGATCGACCACATTTTGACTCATAGTCCGTATACAAATTAATAGTAATCTTTGTTTTAGTGAATACACACTCGTATAAGTACCCTGGACATGAATTCGACTCTCGTGTTCTTACAAACAGTCTCCTTGCATCTTTTAAAATGGCTATCATTTCATTTCACCCCTAAATATTTAATTATATCACAAATTCCCAAAAAGGGGAAACCAATTAAAACTATATTATTGTCCTGTTATTTATCGGCTTACTGCCTTCTTCAGAAACACCCAAAATAGATCTCATCATATCTTATTCCGTTATTTTACTAACTATTTAAAGTTTAGAATAAATAGATAAATATTTAGTTTAAAAAACATCATTGCCTTGCTGAAAATATACTCATTTCCGTAATTACATAATTATAATTTACGATAAGAAAACACGTCTAGAATTCACACCTGGTAAACATTAAGAAAGGGATATTCCATTACAGTGACGTGAATAATTTTGGACCATACCACTTTGTAATAGGGGGTGTTTATAATGCATGTGCTTATTGAAACTATACAGTATACAGCTATAGGAATACAATAACCCCCTTATTAAGAAATGGTATGGTCTCACTCTAGTAGGAAATTACATCATAGAAGAATTCCCTAAAACAAGCGCGGTTTTTATAAATTGTGAAAACTTGGAAGTTTTTGTGGTTTATAATGAATTTGGAATTAGTGAAATGTGTCTAGGAGAATATTTAGAAACGTTGTGATGTTCTAGTCGTAATGGTAAGTTTATTATATTGAGTATTTTTCAGGGCAGCGTGTTTTGGAGGTTTTTCAAAAAACTGTTCATTTTGCCACAACAATACACTGTAAAAATTGTTCTGGATTTTTTACACGATAATTACTGGCAGGAATTTTGTCACGACGAACCTGTGAAATAACACAAGGAGTATTTTACTTTATTAGTTTTACCTGTAAAACTTCACTAATTTTGTAAATGTCTTCCTTTATGGCAAATAATATGTTTGTGTACAAACAAGGGAAATTCGTTAAGCACAGACATAAGTAAATAATACTTAGAAATATAACGAAATCACGACAATTTGATACCCCATTTGATACTTTGAATTCATAACAATTATTATACATGCAGGTCTAGCAGGAATATAAACAGTACACCCGCGTTGGATGTCGATATACGTCCAACGAAAGAATAACAAGTCAAATTGAAAAACACACTCACAATAGCATTGATAATCCATTTGTAACGAGGATAAGTTTAATATTGATCATTGTACAGACAAAACATAACAAAATCAAAACGACTTGAAGAACTCACTTGACTGATAGCATTGGTAATCCATCCTAGTACAAAACATAACAAAATCAAAACGACTTGAAGAACTCACTTGACAGATAGCATTGGTAATCCATCCTTGTACAAAACATAACAAAATCAAAACGACTTGAACAACTCACTTGACTGATAGCATTGGTAATCCATCCTAGTACAAAACATAACAAAATCAAAACGACATGAACAACTCACTTGACTGATAGCATTGGTAATCCATCCTAGTACAAAACATAACAAAATCAAAACGATTTGAACAACTCACTTGACTGATAGCATTGGTAATCCATCCTTGTACAAAACATAACAAAATCAAAACGATTTGAAGAACTCACTTGACTGATAGCATTGGTAATCCATCCTAGTACAAAACATAACAAAATCAAAACGACTTGAACAACTCACTTGACTGATAGCATTGGTAATCCATCCTTGTACAAAACATAACAAAATCAAAACGACTTGAACAACTCACTTGACTGATAGCATTGGTAATCCATCCTAGTACAAAACATAACAAAATCAAAACGATTTGAAGAACTCACTTGACTGATAGCATTGGTAATCCATCCTAGTACAAAACATAACAAAATCAAAACGACTTGAACAACTCACTTGACTGATAGCATTGGTAATCCATCCTAGTACAAAACATAACAAAATCAAAACGACTTGAACAACTCACTTGACTGATAGCATTGGTAATCCATCCTAGTACAAAACATAACAAAATCAAAACGACTTGAACAACTCACTTGACTGATAGCATTGGTAATCCATCCTAGTACAAAACATAACAAAATCAAAACGACTTGAACAACTTACTTGACTGATAGCATTGGTAATCCATCCTTGTACAAAACATAACAAAATCAAAACGACTTGAAGAACTCACTTGACTGATAGCATTGGTAATCCATCCTTGTACAAAACATAACAAAATCAAAACGACTTGAACAACTCACTTTCCTAGTAGCATTATTTTTCCATCCACAACGAACAAAAAAACTCACTTGCAAATTCTTTTTTATTTGAATTGTAGCAAAAAATATATTGAACTTAATTAGTTTTGGGTGTCACGACTCGACAATTAGCTAAAGACGTGAAGACTACACAAGATTTTAATCTGTCTGTTTGTCAGTCGAGCAGTACGTCGGGAGTATTACCTAATATACACACGACTCGTCACGTAACGCAGGATATTGTTAGGTATAATTTTATTGAAAAAAAGTCTCAAATCTATTAGCATAGGAGTTTAAACCAGTTATCACCCTTGATTCATGTTAACAAAGTCGATAGAAACTATTGTGTATTTCTGGAGAGGAATCTTCAAAGTCAATATTTCAACACCCTTTCTGTAATGAGATGTACTTTTTTATCACCTCGTTACAATCGACAAATATTCTAAATGAACTGGAATAAAACTACAAAATTGACTAAAAATCCACTACTCTACAACTTTAACAGGGGTATGGGGCCTCGGCCTGTGCATTTGAGAGAATCAAACCCCTTTCCCCGAAACCCAATTGATAACTGGTAACTCAAATTATAAAAATAGTGACAATGAAATATTTAAAAACAGTTATGAAAAATTAGCCTTTATAAAATAAACAGACGAACATTTAATCAAATGCCAAAAATTGGACAAAAACTCGATTATTTAGGCTTAAAAGGTTTCATTGAATTGTCTAAAATATTATCTTTTACAGAAAACATGTCTCAAAGTATCTGGAACTTGAGTGCCAGTAATTCTGAAATTTCGAAAATGTATAATTTGAAGTTGGTGTCAAGCAAGGATCAACTATTAAACCTTCACTATTCTTGCAGTTTACTAACCAATTTGAGTTTATCCTTAATTCTGTATAAGTTTTTGCCTTATGTAATTATCAAACCGAGTTGATACGATACGACAGGATTATTATTTTTTGTCTATTTTTTAGTTTTTAATTTTGTTATAGATGTGTAAACCTGTATATATCACAAACATAACCTTGAGTTAGAAAAAAGTTGAGTTTTGTGGTAAAACGTAATTAGTCTTATAACATTTAAACTATCAAAAAACTGAAGATATTTTGTAGACTAATCATATCATAGAAACGTATATATAGATTATGCTGTATTCGGTATAATTTTGGTCAAATATCGAAATGATGCTAATTGTTAGACAGAAAACGCCTGGAATAATACTCCACTTTTGTCGGTTTTCTTTCGGCAGTTTTTTCATGCGACAAAAGTTTGAAGATAATTTGTACACTAATCACATCACCGAAAACTTCATACAGATTAAGTCGTAATCGGTATTATTTTGGTCCAACGTAATTAGAATTTCGTCATTCGAAACGATTTCAATTTATAAATAGAAAATGAGAATTAGTGTCAAATTTTAGTTACATCTGTCGGTTTTCAGTAGATTCAAAGTTTGTTTTATGCATGTGTCATTTCAAGTGAAATGGTTTTTACGATAGTGACGTCACAATATGGCAAACTTTTGTGGAATTACAGGAACCACAAACATCAGACGAGAAATCGAACAGTTACAAAAAGGAGCTATAAGTGTCCCCGATACACAAAACAAAGACTTGAAAATCGTGTTTGGTGTACTGTACTGTCAACTCAACAACAAATTGCTTTTTGATTCACATATTCATATTATATTTCTTAAAACTGTAGATAAAAATTAAAACACATCTCACCTTGAATTTCAGAAAATAAAATATTTATATATTCGGGATGTTAACAAACATTTTTATCCACAATTAAAATAGAAGTCCATTTCATAGTTTTGTTTGAAGAAACAAAGGTACAACAATACCGTTATTATTTATCGTAATATACAGTTAAAACAATTGTACAGTTGACTGAAAGAAAACCCTCAGAACGTGTTGATGATATCACGCCGTTAAAAGAACTGCGAGCTGTAACGGACTATCTCTGTCACGATTTCAACTTCTCCACAATTTTGATCTGTTATAGCCTTGAATGTTACATTTAATTACTGGTTGGTCGAGGCTATGTTTGCGTTTTATCGCTATTATCAAGTTGGTTTGTATTGCACTATTCGTTCTGTGATTTGCAATCGTCTTGCATTGACGTTTTGGACATAGTGCATTCCGATTAGTGACGTCAGCAAACACTTTGTTTTAGTGGAATTGCAGGAACCACAGACGTCTGATTGAAAATTAGAATGGTGTAAATTGTTGCTATCAGTGTCACTGATTTAGAAAACCTCTTTACAATCACTGTAAGTAAAATTAAAGAATGTCATCCCCGATAAGGGAACGTCTTAAGAGAATAGGAGTGGGGAAT